CCGGCCTCGCTGCCCCCCCGGGCTGCAGCTCCGCTGCCGTGAATGAATTTTCCCTCCTTCACCCTCGATTTAGCGACCTACATCAGCAAAGCGGGGCTGCAGCGAAAGCATCCCTGGGGAAAACGGGCCTGAAGTGGCAGCCTGGTGAGCTGGCCAGAGTTGCTTTTGGGAAATATCTTACGAGCTATTTATAGTTCAAAAAAACCTCTATTAAGAAATCTAGAAAAGCTCTTCCCTTGCAGTCCAAGCGACGCGTAAGAGCAGGAGTTAAGTCCTTCATTTTTTCCCCCCTACGAGGCCAGGTTTCTCTCCCAAAGCCCTGCAGCACCTTGACCACGTGGCGTCCGAGAGGCACCAGTTTCAGACTGGAAAGAAATGTTTTATCAGCTCGATTACATCCTAAACGCTCTCTCCAGCCTCGAGGGGAATCTATGTGTGGCACCAAACACAACGCGAGACTCTCCAGTCCAGCGTCAGGACAGGCCAGAGGTGCAAGAGATACAATTCATTTTTCACCTGAATAACAGTCGGGAAAACTCAAACTTGGGCCGGGAACAGGTCACAATCCATAAATCGTTAGCGGTGCAGCTTAAAACACTCCAAATCTCAGAAATGTCATCACCGAGCAGGTGCACGGCCGGCGATCCACCCTTCCCTAAGTTACCTGCCTCGGCAGCTGAAGACAGGAGACAGGCGGGTGGTTTTTTTGAAAAAAAAATTATTTTATTGGAACTCATCTGAACATCAGATATACCTGGTGTTGGTTAGCAAGAACCGTTTGTACATTTGATATTGATGGTGCCAAAAACCCAAACAGTGACTGACTGGATGAGATGGAAATTAAAATAAAAATAAACCAAAACGCCGGAGAGGTTAAAATGTGAACAGAAAGCAGAAAGATCAGCCAGTCTTAAGATTCAGTGTGAAGGCAAAACATTTCCTGATAAAACAGAACCCTTTTACAAAATATAAATTTTGTAAGAAAAACGTGGAGAGGGAGAGAGAAAGAAGAGACGGAGGGGAAAGGGAAAAGAAAAGATTAGCAGGACAGAGATGCAGAAGCTTACACTGCCCAAATGGCATTAAAACCTAGCTAGTAACCTCACCAGAAAATGAAACATGCTGGAATACACCGTGCTCCACCCCCCCAGACAATCCTTGGGAACAGGACCCAGGCAGTTCCCCAGCGAGCGCCGCACCAGGTTATTCCAGAAGGGCCAAGCTGTCTCGCACATCGGGATGCTGGGAAAAAAGAAAAAGGAAAAAAAAAACCAAAAAAAACCAACCAAAAAACGCTACCGCAGCAGAGGTAAAACCGCGACAGCCCGGCCAGCGCCCGGGGCACGAGGACTCGGGGAACGCCTGCTCGCCTGTTCTTCCTACCAGTGCAGGTGGGGAGGGAGAAAACATTGAAAAATCTACTCTATTTGAAAACAAGAGCATGCAAATCCAGGTCTCCTGGGGAAACCTGCGCTGTTCCCTTCGACAGAAACTGGCCCAGTGGGTCTAGAGAGCGGCCGCAGCCGTCTCGAGGTTTCGGGCGGCGCGAGCAGCACAATGATAGTCCTGAAGCGGGTTCCTCAGGCACGGGAACCTTCAGGAAAATCATTGCAGAGCTGCTTTCGAGGGGATCTGAGGCTCTGGAGATTTGAAAACCAAGCGGCAGTCTGTACGTTTTGGGGGTTTGGTTTGTTGGTCGTTGTTTTTTTTTAATTTCGGTTGAGTATAAATAGAATAAACCTGCCTGCTTCTACGCTGTCAGCAAAGTTTCCCATTTCAGAGCAGAGGGAGAGATGAAAACTCGTTTTGGGCACCTACCGGTAACAAAACTTTGTCCCTGCTTATGTCTCTGCCATCCCTCAGGAAGTGGAAAGCACATGTTTAGGTAGTGTAAGCCTTTTTCCTTTTATTTAGAATACCCTCTTTGTTTAAACAATATCCCCTCCCGCCCCAGATACAAAGTTCGGCCAGTAAAGATTACATGGAAACTGGAACACGCATCGTATGGAATACAAGATGCACCGGATGAGGAAGTTTAAAAACTTTCCGAGCGAAAAGTAGAACAAAGAGAAAAAAAGAAGAAAAAAAAAAAAAAAAGAAAAAAAAATAGTCTCCTAACATTTTCCCAAAGGTTTCACTCTCCTGTCACACACACTCTCCAAATGACAGCTAGCAAATTCAACTCTGCAAAAAGAAAACACAGAGCCACGTCAATCGAGAGGAGAGAAAACAAACCTCAAGGACACAAACCGCACCTTGGCCTGGGAGGAGTGACAGGTCCGGAGCGGCTGCGACCTCCGGCGCCCGCCTCCACTCACCTATGTTAGCTTCTTGGCTTTGTTGTAGAGCGAATCCACTACTTTGCTCATGTTCTGAATCGTCTCGAGGGCGGCTTCGTAAGTTTTGTCTACGGGGGGTTCGTCGAAGATGATGAGCACTCCCTCGCCTTGGTCGAGGATCCCTGCGGGCACAAAGCCACCGTTACCGGCCTGACCGATCGCCTCGGCCCGGCGGCGGGGCTGGAGGGATCTGCTCGGTCGCGTTGGCGTGGGAGGGGGCTCACGTGTCGTACTTGAGGGGCTTATTTTGGCCTGGACTGCGTTAGCAGTGGCTTCTCCAGAAAAAATACGAAACCTCCACATCTTGTAGAGGGGACACCCAGGAGATGCTCAGGCCTGCGCGTCTCCCGACACCCACCTCCCTCCCCGCAGCCCCCACAACC